TTTTTTTTTTTTTGAAAATGATAGCTATGTATATCTGTCTTACACGTGGAAATGTGACATTGTGTAGGCGTATACGTGTAGGCGTGACTTATAAAGGATTGAAATTGTTATGAATGTAATAAATTAAAAAGCATTGATATTTGACAATAATATGACACGGCAAGAAAATGAATGTATAAAGTGAACAAACAAAAAATAACACGGACTTAAAATGAACCTATGAATCTTGGAACAAGAGCTTATTCGTACGTCGTAAATATCAAACTTTAATAGTAGCAACGTTAATTGTCATTTCATAAGAAATGTTTCAACTAAGAAACTAACTTTTATTTTTCTTTGGATATATTTTCTTCAATAAAGAAGTTTTTAAGAAGTTTATCGAGTACTGAAAATTTCCCCCACTCTCTTCGTTCTCGATCTCTTCCATTCCTAATTATCTTCGTGTCCCATCAAAAAAAAAAAAACAATTAGTTCAATCGAAACATGCAGTATTATCATATAATTTAAAAAACAAATATAAATAAGCAATTCTTGATGGAATAATCTTACAGGTAATCAGGATTGAATTTCTTCGGATATTTGATGAACTTATGATTAATCCCGTTTAAATTGTCGCCTCTGTGGATACCGTTTCCATTTCTGGTTCTTTGTTGGAGCGCCAATTTGAATATGATCAGATTATTGTTGATTGAATTTACCTTTGTGATTGGAGAAAGTAATTGTGTTTCTGAAATGGGTTCCAGAAATAAATTTACAATCATAGAACTTCTTATTTGAGAGAAAATTTTAAATCTTCCTGTATGTAGAAGTCAATTTAGAAATAAAATTCTTGTTGGAATTGCTTAATGAAGTATGGCTTATCATTTATGCTTTAAACTACGTGAAATTACGGAATTCACGTAGTTTCCTATTTCGTGTTCCTATTTATCGGAAATAATGCAATAAGTTTCAATTAGCTGCTGGAAGTAATTTATTGATGTTTGAGTGTTTCTTAATTGTTGATTTTTGGAATATATTACTAGAATTTGAATTAAATTAAGATTAGCTATGTATTAAAATCCGTTATTTCAAAATAAAACTTTATTATAACTTAGATTTTGCTCTCAACGATGGACGATTTCGTTGCACTTCGCGACCATTTCACAAATCGACGTTGCTGATTGTCGATTGGGCGTGGATTATTTCCAACGGATGTTGGGGAGAATGTGTAGTTTGGTGGTGGCTTTGTTGAGGTGGTGTATGGCAGTCGTTTCGGGGTCAGAGGTCATGGGAGAGGTGGAGATGGATGGAGCATGTTTCGGTTTTATGCATTTTGGCAATCAGACTAGTAGAGAATTCCTGAGCATTCCGGAATGTTTGTTGAATTTTCGACAAAAAAGCGGATAAAAGTCATTGCAAGCTATTCACGCCAATACAAAATTTGTAAACTTATTTATAAATTTTAGTTTTTCTGTTAAAATACGGAAGTCTCTTTAAGCTATCTTTGATATCTTCTAATTCTACTCCGGTGATATGTTTGATTTGTTGTCTTTCAGATTTCAGATATTAAAACTGGTAACTTTTGATTAAACTTTTCTAATTCCTCGTTATGTCAATGTCTTTTATATTCATTGGGCATAGCAAAATTAGGAAGCGGAGGGAGCATGCGCTATGATTTCTGGATTTTACTTTTGTGAATTTATGAAAATTTTTACCCCGTCGTTTTCTCCCAGATCTTCCATCCTTTTCTTCCTACCCATCTACCATTAGATAGATTGTGAAGGAGGACGAAAAGAAGAAGAGATGAGGAAAGAGAATAGCTGAAATAATAGCAAGAAGGATGTGAAAGGAAAAAAAAACATGCGTTACGATTTCTTCATCTTACCTTTGTAAATTTATGTAAATTTTCACTCCATTGTTTTTCGCCAACTTCTTCCTATTTTTACTCCCATTCACTCTTAAACATTCATTGCTTCAAAATGTCCATCTCGACAGCGCTTGGTTCTCGTTATACGTCTTGGCGTAATTTAGTATTGTCCCCTTCGCATGTATCAGTCTTACGCGCTACTGGTATCTGACTTTCTTTCTTTTTTTTTTTGCTTTCTTTAAATTTTGACTCCAAAGAAGTTCATTTTATTGCACAGAGTTGCCGTTCGTCATTATTTTGCTAGTAAAGAAGGAATATTTTTTGTTTAGGAAATAAATTTTGAAAAAAAGTTTTGTTGCTAATTTAAATTCAAAAAAAAAACTAATTCAAATAAAATGAATGCAAGTAAGTGGGATATGATGAATTCACGTAGAGTAGGAATAAATGAAAAAAAAAATGTTTGACTTTTTCTTTTTTCTTTACTCCTTCTTGAAATCGAGTTTGGTAACTTTCTTTCTTCCTGAAAAGGGGAGAATTTTAAGAATGATTTTAAAAAGTTTTTTGAAATTGTATATCGAAATCGGAATAATCGGTCTTCGGTGGGGAAGTACAAATCATGTTCTGAGCAAGCAGCTTTATAAAGCATTCCTTCGTTTTGGTGGTGTTTCAGAAATCCTTTTTCTAGGCATGAAGGGACCAGAAAGCAGCCAGTGCGCTACTGAGAACATCCTATCAAATCCGTATTCAGGTATCCAGTTTGCATTCGACAAACGACGTCGAAACCTGGAGAAGCGTAAGGTATGTACTGCATGTAATTCAATGTTGATATTATACAAACTTATAATCTAAAAAATTTTTCTTTCATTACAAAAATTATTCATTCTTTTTACTAATTTTTTTTTCTTTGGAATTTCACTTTGCTCTGACTCTTATCACCATTAAATTTTTAACTACAAACAGTCATTTGTAGAAAGTTTTACCACTTATTTCCACTTACTGACATTTCAGAGCCGTTTGTTGCAATACGAGGCGGATTTGAAAGACGGTAAGAAACTTAGCGAGCAGCAGGTCGAAGCTCGATATTGCATTGGAGAAGTTGATACACAGCTGGACTTTCTGAAGGATATCAGCAGGGTTGTACAGGCACTACAAAAAGAATATGTTCGTACCATGAAACAACGGGACGATGGGATGAAGAAAGATGTAAGTTGAGTCAGATGATTTTTAAGTTGCTTTACAGGCTTATGGTATTATGATGCCACATCTGTACCAAAGAAGTTCATTGTATAATGGAAATAATAAATTTGAAAATGGTGCTCAATTCAACCCATCATAATTCTCTGCCAGCGTATGCATTAGAGATATTTTTGATGAAAAAAAAAAACGATAATCGTTCTAATCACAAAAGAAAATAAAATTCCTTGGAAAATGGATATAGCTTACTATCTGAATAACAGATAAGTGTTGCGTTTTGCTAAGTTGTATGCGTGTGGAAGAACATGATCACTTAGCTAATAACTGAGATTTTGGAAGGTGTTTGATAGAAAATATTGTCAAGACTCAATGAGCTCGACATGGCTGTGTTCGATATGAGATCGCTTCTCAATAAGACTCGAAACATTGTATTGGATCTGCTTAAAAGTTTAATAATCGTTGTATAATTTCAGCGTATATATAGATATAAGCCAATGATATAGATAGAAATTGATTTTTGCAATTCGATCTCGTAATTTGAAATTTGGAACTTTAAAAGTAATAATAGTACTGTTTTTCTTATCCTTTTTCTTGAAAACTTGCTTTGTTTCAGCTTGTTGAACTTGAGCGAAAACATTTAGAAGATTTCATCCATTTTCAAAATGTCATCGAACGATTCGCCAAAGTGGAAAACAAAAGTGTCTTTCTAAATGGGACGGACAATGAAGCGGTAAATTTGGATATATCCATATTTCTTTTGCTAGCTTTTGTCTGCTTATTAGTCGAAATGCAGGTAACAGTATTTTATAACCTCATTACATGTCATTATGTTTTGAAAAACGATAACAGTGTGAAAATTTTTGCTCGCTAAATCCTTATTCCATTAATGTTTTTGCTTTAGAAGATTACCAAAGAGGAGTGTAAACTGATTGAGACTTTGTCGGAATCATTCGGTTTGAAATGCGGTGAGTCGAAAACCCTTATGGATTCCAAGAAATGTGAAGACGCTTCGATGCTAGCTTATGGGATTCTCGTAGGAAACAAAGAAAAAGTTGTGAATGATTTCTCAGGTAATAACATCATTTTTATTCATATTGTGGAGAATTTGTGTTTCGGCTTATAAGTTTGTGTTCAGTAGTGTTACTATTTGTAAAACTGATCTCCAGTCATTGTCTTCTTCCCGTTTTAGGAATTCAAATTAGGGAACTATTGGAGAAAATTGCAAATTCTGAGCATATGCGACCTGATGCTGAGAAATTTGTTAAACTTAGTGAGTCTGCGATGGAATCCGAGGTTGAACAGCCGAAAAAAGATCCAAAAGTAACGTTTATAATCGCTTTTGTCTCATAGGATTATCTTTTGTTGGAGGGCAACGCACCGTATTATCAATGATATTATCGTGCATTGTATGTAATTATTAAATGATTTCACGATTTACAATTTTTCTTTTATGGTATTTGAAACCATTGATTTTTCCAGGTAGTTTTTGTACATGTTGCTAATGGATCAGTGGAAAACTGTGCAGAAGGCGATATAAATCATGCAGGCGATACGGAGTTTGGTTTTGAGGGTGGAATCGATCCGAAGGCGCTTATACGTGACCCGCCACCACCAATTCCTTTTCCAGCTACGGTGGTCTCAGAAGATCCTGTAAATGCCATCAGTGCTCGTAATCACAATGTGTGGCGTACAGGTTAGATTACTTCGTTAATTTTTTAAATATTTTTTAGGTACCATTAGATTTTATTTTAAAATGCTTTTAATGGAAATTATTGTTGTCCGGTGAAGGGATAGAGGTTTTTTTTTTTTCCGTTCACTGATTCGCTTTAGCTCTGCGATGAAGCTGTGCAAATATGAACGTAGATAAAATGCTCTTATGATTGTTTTTTGGGAGAAGAGAATATGTTTGCGTGACTCGAGCAGTTGGGACGAGTTCTTGATAATGAAAAGAGCGAACCGCATTTTGTCTGCTGTATAGTTGGCTTTCAGTCTTTGAATTGATAACTCGTGTGAGAATTAGTACACAAAAATATGGACAACCAGCTTTTAGGACTATTATTTTGAAGAATGAATTGAATTATTTTGCTGTCTGAATGACTAAAAGTAGATCATCAGCACATTTCCTATTGTTGTTCAATGTTGAATGGATAATCTTGAAAAAAATGAATAGAGACACTTTAGCAAATTAGTAATGTTTCCAATTAGCTTCGAAATTCTTTGTCAAGCGTGATATTTTACTGTTGAATTCTTTAAACAGTGGTAACAGTTCTCATTTTCAGAGGCTAAACCAGAAGTGTCATCGAAGCGACGTTTGGATGGAGCCCAGAATGGTTTTATTAATGATGTTGAACAGGTGGGTAGAGCTCGTGGTGATGAACGTCAACAGATGCGTCAAGCTAAAGTCATTGGTGCTCCGTGTAATAACATTGGAATTGGCGACATGAAAGGAGGCGATCTCGGAAAAATTCCAGTTATTGGACGTGGTCGTGGTCGTGGTCGACGTCAGGAACGTGATAGCTTTGATGGCCCACGAAACACTCGTGGCGTAGCTCGTGGTCGAGGTTTTGGCGGTTTAGGTGCTCGAAGCGGTGTTTCCGATTTTGCACCGCATGGTCCCGGCATTCGAAATGGCAATAATAGTAACAACAGTCAGATTAATGGTGGTTTCAAAGGTAATGTTAATGGAGAAAGGGCCCGTAATGGATCTGGATGCAATGAACCGCCACAGCCTCCGCGCCGATTAGGGTTTAATTTTGCTTCGGATGCATTCTAAATACGTCTGTGGCAACGATATGATCATTTTTTTAGTTGAAATCGTATTATGAGGAAAGAATGAATTCAGTGGCACAGTTAACGCTTTATTTTAATCTTCTAAACAAATTTTTCTCTACTTAAAATTTGTTCCCTTGTTTTTAAATTCATCCAACATTTCTAATTTATTTCCACCTCGCCATTTTTTCCTCTTCCAAGCGCGGCTCTTTCAATGTCTATGTTTATTTTAAAATTTCTTTATTTTTATTGTCCTCTCTTCATCTCTAAAATCTTTTGTCTCGATATTGTGAATTGCAATCCTTGTATAACAAGTTTTTTTCATCTTTTTCTCTAGTGAATTTTCGTCAATTCGAGCCTAGCCAAATTCCCTCAGGAATCGCTTTTTTTTTTATTAAAACTTCATGTGGAAACATCTATTGGTTAAATTTTTCCGAACTTTTGATAACTGGGAACGAAATTTCTGTGTGACTATGCATTTACAAAAAAAGTTTGAAACAGTAATTCCTTCGACCCTAGTTTTTTAAATATCCTTTCCAGAATTCATTTTTAGTGAGACCTTTGTGGGATCACTTTTGAACAACTGCCATGGGTTCGCTTTACATAGGTTATCTTGAATAATATTCTGGTACAGTTGATCATGATAACGGTGATTATATGTGGGTAAATTTGCGTGTACGTGTGTGCATGCATGTGTATGTCTGCGTGTATGTGTATGTGTGCGCGTACATATTTGTATGTGTGTGTATATATTTGTGAATGTATGTATGTATATGTGTGTATATGTGTGTATGTGTGTGTATGTGTATATGTATGTGTGTATGTATACGTGTGTGTGTATGTGTGTGTATATGTATGTGTGTGTATGTGTGTGTGTATATGTGTGTGTA